TGGTAGAGGTGGGTTTTGTCGTGTTGTGTACGCTGGTCTCGAACTCCTGGGTTCAAGTGATCCTCCCGCCTTGGCCCCCCAAAGTGCTGGGATTACAATCGTGAGCCACTGCACATGCCCACTTTATTGTTATTTGTGTTTTTCAACAGAAATTTCTGTACTCATGTGCATTCTGCGTGAGTTTTTTGGAGTCCTCTTTTGTGATTAATTCTTAGGAATAAAGAAAATGGAAGACTTAAATGTTCAGATTTGGAGACTTAAAATTGTCTACTAAATGACTACCAAGTGCTGCACTAGCTCTGATGAGATGTACAGAGGACCTCACTGAAATTGGTTTCTAATATTTTGGTGACTCTGCTGCTGAAATGATTGTGGAATGGATGGTCCCACAGCATAGCTGTACCTTGATAGTTTAGGCCACATTGCTATAGATGAGCTGTACAGGACAGTTCTGTTTCACTTTCACCTCACTGAGAATTACACAAATGAAGGTGCCACATGTTGGAATTTCCTGTCTCTTTGTTGTTGAGTAGTCCAGGTTTTCATCAAGGATTCCTTTTATTCTCTTTCTCCTCTTTTTCTTTTTAACAGGTAAGTAATTTCAGACACTTTTAGCTGTGTAGAGATGATTTGTCCAAAGTGTCTTTTTCCCTAAATCACTGGCAGATCTGGATTAGGACTGAGCTGTAGATGCCTTTCCTGTTTAGTTTCCTAGGAAGGAGGGTAGAAGAATAAAGTTGAGGGGCTGCTGTTAATTCAGTAAACATTTTTTGAACACCTACTTTGTGCCAGGCTTTATGTTAAGCTTTGGCAAAACAAAATTGGACATTGCCCTCAAGGTCAAACAGACAAACTTTGGATTTTAATAAATCACTATGAGGAGGACATTGAAACAGGTCTTAATTCTGGTAGTTAAGTTTTCTGTTTAATCCTCAGTGGACTGGATGAATCCATCCTGGAGGAATGTCTTCAGTACTTGGAAAAGCAGCTGGAAAGCAGCCAGGCTCGTAAAGCTATGGAGGAGTTTTTCTCTGACAGGTGAGCTGTGTTTTGCTTTATTCAGTGAATATTTTTTGAATGCCTCTTGAAAGTAAGGGGCTATGTATGTTGATTTAGGTACTTCTTATCAGTAATACTTAAGGCTTGCTTAGGTGTCTGCACTTTGGAGAGTTAATTGCTGACTTTTTGGGGTTATTGGTGAGGAGGTTAATTTCATGAACACCTTGTGTTATTGACTCATAAGTGGCCATTTTCCCCAGAGGAGATGAGATTGTGAAGGCGGGTTGCTTTTTATGTGAGGCTTAATGTGATTCTTCCATTTTTCTCCCCTCCTGCCTCCCAGTGGAGAACTTGTACAGATCATGATGGCAACAGCCAATGAGAACCTCTCTGCTAAATTCTGTAACCGAGTTTTGAAATTCTTCACCAAACTCTTCCAGCTGAGTGAGTGACAGCTTTTAGTAATCTTCTTATGGGAACTTTGATGTCTGGCTAATACTGTGCATATCTTCTGCCTGCGTTTAACTACAGCATGAAAATGCTAACAAGTGGAGAGAATCCCTCAGAAAGTTTGGAAGGAAGTTGAAAACTTGCTTTGGAGCCTTTTCCCCTTTCCCGGCTCACAGTTTGCCCCTTCTTCCCCTTCTTCTTGCCCTTCTTTATTGACCCTGCCCTCTTGGTCTGCTCCCAGCTGAGAAGAGCCCTAACCCGAGCCTGTTGCATCTCTGCGGCTCCCTGGCACAGCTGGCCTGTGTGGAGCCTGTGCGCCTGCAGGCCTGGCTCACCCGCATGACTACATCACCCCCAAAAGATTCTGATCAGCTGGATGTAATTCAGGAGAATCGGCAGCTGCTGCAGTTACTGACTACATACATTGTTCGGGAAAACAGGTAGAACAACTGCATTTCTGTCGTGCTTCCCTAGCAACCCCAGAAATATGGTAATATTTGCAGTTATCTTTCCTGTGGGCACCAGTCTTAGCATTTTCAGCACTTTTATATCTACTTGTCTCTGGACTCAAGGATTCTAGTATAGCTCCTTGATGTTTTTTCCCATGGAAAAACTTTTGGAATGGCTTGGCCTGTCAGTTACAACCTGAGTGAATGTTTTATGCTCTAGTAGCTCAAGTCCAAAGCTGGGATTGGTATTATAGTTATGTGTTCAATGTTTAATTTAAAACTTCATTGACAATGCACAGAATGAGATTCCTATTGATTATTATTCACCAACTTGCTCTTTCTTTTCTACTAGCCAAGTTGGGGAAGGCGTGTGTGCTGTTCTTCTGGGTACCCTGACCCCCATGGCAACAGAGATGCTGGCCAATGGTGATGGGACTGGCTTCCCTGAACTCATGGTTGTGATGGCCACCCTAGCCAGTGCAGGTCAAGGTGCTGGTCACCTTCAGCTCCACAATGCTGCTGTGGATTGGCTGAGCAGATGGTAAGATGATGAAATTGTATCTAAGTTACAACATTGCTCTTGGAGAAGTGGGTTGTTTCAGGTTACTTTCTTTATAGCTCAAAGGGAGTATGGAAGAAATTTGAATCTCTACCCTTATATTGGAGTTTGGGGGTGGGGGTAGCAAATAGCTCTGTTCACTTTAGACTTTATCTTCATCATTTTCTTAGTAGAGTTTCCTGTTCATTGTTCCCAAGAGAATTCTTGGGGAAAGTATGCCAAGTGTTAATGGTAATTCTAAGACCAGAGCACCCCAAGCTCTGTACCTATATAATACTTACAGAGTTTTCTAAGAACGCCTCTGCTTTACAGCGTCCTCAGATTGATTCAGGGTTCATGAAGATGCTTCATTTCTTTGGTTCCTTATATGATTTTGTGTCTCCTCTTTCCCCTCTTTTTTGTCCTTTGGGACAGCAAGAAATACCTGTCACAGAAGAATGTGGTTGAAAAACTGAATGCCAATGTAATGCATGGAAAGGTAAGAAAAATGAGGAATAACAATGAGGGGTGAAGGGAAAGATGATTCTCAACCAATGTGGTCAGGTGGAAGTCTCTTGTTCCTACTGAGTTCTGTGTCCGGCTAGCTTACCGAGGATAAGGCTGATAATCTCAAAGACCTAGAAGTGTGTAACTGTGCGCTAACTGTGTGCCTTTAGGCATCTTTTGGCTGGCAAGAAGTGATGGGAAGGAAATACACTGGTAAATAAGCAGACCGAATCTTTCTTAAAACACAGTGAGTTCCTGACATCCTAAGATTTTGGAATATTATGGGAAACTGTCTCCCTGCTCAGGAATTGGAACTGTGCTACTCTGAGTCAGTGTTGTAAAAGGCTAAATATGGCCTTCTCAGCTCTAGTCCACATGCTGAGCATTATTTAATTTGCTTGAAGGTTCTGGTTACTCTGCTGAGAAAAGGGGTTTGAAACTGACAGAAATCTTGCATTCAGGCGTTTTCTTCTCCTGCCTAACCCATGAACAGCCTAGGTGGCTAGGAACAGATAACTAGCTTCTAAGAATCACTGTGGTACCATTCATTACTCCCTTCTTTCTTGTTGATCCTTATCCTTTCAGCACTGAAATGTCAGAGTGCAGAGCAAAGGAACTTTGAAATCTGAGTCTTTGATGCTACTTAATTGGGTTTTCTAGGCAAGCATGAACTATCTATAGTGATTTGCTAGAATTTTTTTCTCTTAATTTCTGAAGCTGTCCTCTTTTGCATTACTGTAAAGCCTGATAATTAAAATGACTTTCACTTAATGGTTAGAAATGCTAATGTTAGGGCGAAAATGCTAATGAGAGTCTCTTCATACTCTAATTTGGTCATTTTTTGAATAATTTTAATCTGTTTTTACTCTATTCTTCTAATTTCAATCCTACTTAATCTTATAAGACTTCGTAAATAGCTGTTGTGCTTAAGAATGAATGAATGCATATTACTTCAGTACAATTTACTGACCAGCTACGTGGGGATGGAGTGGTATAAGCTGGTTAAGAGATACTAAAAACACACAGTTTTTCTTCTCTGCTTTCATACTATTTCTATGATCTTGAGCTTTATTTGAAAAAGCTTGAGAACACATAGTTGACATAATAAAACATGGAGAATCTGAAGTTTCTGTGGGGCTTCGGTCTTCTTTTGCAGCATGTGACAATCTTAGAGTGCACGTGCCATATCATGTCTTACTTGGCTGATGTCACGAATGCCCTGAGCCAGAGTAATGGTCAAGGCCCAAGTCATCTCTCAGTGGATGGGGAAGAGCGGGCCATTGAAGTAGACTCAGACTGGGTGGAGGAGTTGGCTGTGGAAGAGGAAGATTCCCAGGCTGAGGATTCAGTAAGTATGAAGTAACCTCGAAGTTAACCTGTCAAGGTAATGACTGATATGGTACCAAGCTTTTGGCTCATTTTTCCAGCCCCCTGTGAGCTTCAAAACTTCCTAGTCCTTATTGCTGCCAGATTCCGGTTTTCTAAGCCTGCAGAGCAAGGCATGGAGATCTAACCTCTTATGGAAAGGACTTTTTCATAAGCTTATTCCAGAGCCACATCTCCTGCTTTTTCAGTCTTTAATTCCAAATGGAATTTTAGGGATGAGTTCTTCATTGGGGTAGTGGAAGCTCCCCTGTAAAGAAAGCATAAGATGTTTTTTCTTAACCACAAACCCCTAAGGTCTCTTTCACCTGAAATAACAACAGATTTTCAGCCAACTAGCTATTTCCAATTGTGGTAGATTTCCACTGGTCATTTATGAGTTGACTATTCACTGCTCCCTCCAATAGAGTGTTGAGAAAGATAGGTTTTTGTGGGTGTTTATATACAGGGATATATTTCTAGTTAAAAAGACTTATTATTTTTGAAGGATGAAGATTCTCTTTGCAACAAACTCTGCACTTTTACGATTACACAGAAAGAATTCATGAACCAGCATTGGTAAGAGTAGTTCTTCCTTTTAGGTAAAGATTTGCTGGGCACTGACTGTTGGGACTTCTGAGCTTCTTTGTTGGTTTTTGTTCTTTGTAGGTACCACTGTCACACCTGCAAAATGGTGGATGGGGTGGGTGTCTGCACAGTGTGTGCTAAGGTGTGCCACAAAGATCATGAGATTTCCTATGCCAAGTATGGATCCTTCTTCTGTGACTGTGGAGCCAAAGAAGATGGCAGCTGTTTGGTGAGAGATTTGGAACCCTCACTGAGCTATGAAGGGTGGCTTGTTAGACATGGGATTACTGAAGCCAAACTGGAAAATTCCCATCCCTTCTAGGATACCTGAGTCTAGGAATATGTTCCAGCTCAAGTCATCGGTGATCTGTACAGTTGTGGCCTAAGCACTTCATTTAGAAATCAGAACCAGCAGATTCCTTAGGGATCTTGTAGTGTGTTTTTCCTAAGACCTCCCCACAATTTCAGATGTTATAAGGCCTGATACTGTGAGTAGGTAAAGAAGTTAGATACTAGGTGAATACCATGATGATCAGAATTTAGGCTTTCGGATAACATTGAAACGCTTAGCCACTTTCTTCTTTGGGTCAGTTTTTCCTCAGAGATCTCAGGCAGTATTTCTTCTGTGCTTGAGGCAAGAACTTAGGGACTGTGACATTTTCTGTCCTAGGCACTGGTGAAGAGAACTCCTAGCAGCGGCATGAGCTCTACCATGAAGGAGTCAGCATTTCAGAGTGAACCCAGGATTTCAGAGAGTCTAGTGCGCCATGCCAGCACCTCACCAGCTGACAAAGCCAAGGTTACCATCAGTGATGGAAAGGTTGCTGACGAAGAGAAGCCCAAGAAGAGCAGCCTGTGCCGCACAGTGGAGGGCTGCCGGGAGGAGTTACAGAATCAGGTGGAGCTGATTGATACCCCGTAGTACATAGACATAGTTGAGAGCCTGGCAAATTGGTGTGAGAGTAAATAATGCACATGGCTCCCCTTGAAACTCATTTTCTCCTTTCTCTAAGTTTACCATTTTCATAGTGTGAATACAAATACCATGTGTTGTCATCACAAGGGAAGGATTTATGGCTGAGCACTATTAGGAATGTTATCGGGGATGATGGAAGCATACATTTTAGTTGTATCATACTTTAGAGTACCCTTTCTTGGCCAGGGTTCCTTATCTGAAACACAGAAAACAAAATTATTTGAGTGATTATATTCTCAGTTTTCCCAAGGATGGTACAAATCCCAAACCATTCTAGACACATAGGAGAGAAGTTAACTCATTTCATATGAGGGATGCCTCTGAGCATTAGGATATGTATGTGAGATCCCTGGTTTAGAAAGATTGCTCTGGAGTTAGTAGTACAAATGTGCATTGATTGGAATCAATGCCAGGATTATGGTGAGAATTAGAAGATGGCTAGAATATCCAACTGGAAGTGAAGAAGCTGGATTCTGAAGGAAATTACTGGCAAGATTATTGTTATGAGTATTACCCATTGTTTTTCCTTTTTTTTTTTTTCACTTGTGTATTTTTTCTGTTTTTCTCAGGCCAATTTTTCCTTCGCTCCTCTCGTGTTAGACATGCTCAATTTCCTTATGGATGCCATTCAGACCAACTTCCAGCAAGCTTCAGCCGTGGGGAGCAGTAGCCGCGCTCAGCAAGCCCTCAGTGAGCTCCACACAGTAGAGAAGGCAGTGGAGATGACAGACCAGCTGATGGTAAGTGTTTTAGGGCCATGATGTTTGGTGGCTGTGGGAACTAACAAATTTATTGAGATCCTAAAGTGTACTAGATGCTCTGAGGAATATACTTAGAGCAATTGATCCTTGGCCATCCAAAACTTAGAATCTAAGACATCATGACATTCCCAGAATATATAGTGTAAAAATCAGCATATGAGATATGGCTTCAAAAGAAGGGAATTGGCCAGGGGCGTGCTTATAATCCTAGCACTTTGGGAGACCCGAAGCAGGCGGATTGCTTGAGCCTGGGAGTTTGAGACCAGCCTTGGCAACATGGTGAAACCGCATCTCTACCCCAAAAAACACACAAAAAAATTTAGATGGTCATGGTGGTGTGGCGCCTATAGTCCCAGCTACTCGAAAGGCTGAGGTGGGTGGATCACCTGAGCCCAGGAGTTTGCAGTGAGCTGAGATCACACCACTGTACTCCAGCCTGGGCAACAAAGTGAGACTCTGTCTCAAAAAAAAAAAAAAAAAGAGTGGGGCTGGGGAATTCAGGGTCATTTTGGCCAATGAAAAGACTAAATCTCCATTTTAGTTCATATAAATATATGAATCACCAAGAAGTAGGGAACTCCATTTTGGGGCAATTAGAATAGTTAGAAATATTTTCTTTTTTAGAAAATAGAACTTTATCTTTTCTAAAGTTCATCTAACTTGCAAAATAATGCTTGTACTCTTTTGCTTATAGTCGTTTAGATAACTTTCCTTTAGTTTTTCATGTCAGATGGGTTGTAAGGTATAAATCATTATTCATTTTAAAACTGGCTGCTCAGTACTGAATATAGGACTTCTGATGTAGCCTTCCTGGCCTTTTTTTAGCAGCAGAATTAAGTAGTAGAAAGTAAAGTGGTGGCAATTCCAAAAGGGAAGTGAACAGATATTGTGAATGAGATACACGAATAGATCTCATAAATTGGCTTTTTTTTTTTTTTTTTTAAAGAGTCTCGCTCTGTCACCTAGGCTGGAGTGCGGTGGCATGATCTCAGCTCACTGCAATCTCTGCCTCCCTGGTTCCAGCAATTCTCATCCCTTGCCCAGCCTCCTGAGTAGCTGAGACAGGAGGCACGCACCACCATGCCCAGCTAATTTTTGCATTTTTGGTAGAGAGAGGGTTTCACCATGTTGCCCAGGTTGGTCTCGAACAACTGTGCTCAAGTGATTTGCGCAACGCAGCCTGCCAAAGTGCTGGGATTATAGGCGTGAGCCACCATGCCAGCCAAAGTTGGCTATTTTTAAGGGACTGATACTCAGTTGGAAATACACACATACATACATATATTCTGGCATTCTATTTAAATCAGTCACAGTTTTTGCCAGGCATGGTGTACCTGAGGAGTTTGAGACTATCCTGGGCAACATGGTTAAACCCTGTCTCTACAAAAAATGTACAAAATAATTAGCCGGATGTGGTATGCATCCTTGTGGTCTCAGCTACCTGGGAGGCTGAGGCAAGAGGATTGCCTGAACCTGGGAAGTCGAGGCTGTAATGAGCTGGTATTGCATCACTGCACTCACCAGTGCACTCCAACCTGGGTGACAGAGCAAAACCCCGTCTCAAAAGAAAAAAAAAATTAGTCACAGTTTTATTTGATATTCTTGGAATTTAAAAATGTCATAAAAATCAGTCACACTTTGAGAGCATTGGTTTTTAAATATTAAAGATGAAGTGAAAAAATACTTTTGTGGGATTGGGGACCCATAAAGTTGCTTTCTATGTTGCCAGATTAGATCAATGAAAAAAAATTTCATCTGTCATCACCGTTTATAAGACATTGAACATTTTAACTTTTTTTTTTTTTAAAGAGACCAGTACCTTGTATTTAAGTTTA